CCAAGTGGCCACCACTGTACGGCCTTGTAATGTGAAGGTTTATTAGTAAGTTAGTTCATGTCGACGACCGCAGCCTTGGGGTCAAACCCCGGGCCGTCCGGATACGACATTTGGCGCAGTGAACAGGATCCGACACCTTGTGTGCAGTCAACGAGAGAGACATTGATGAGTAAGACATTGTGATGCCCCGGTTGTTCGAATGGACGGGCAGTATGGAGTTTCCGCTGCCCGATCCGCGAATGACCGGACTTCTACGAGATCTCAAGGTTATCAAGAAGAAGGTATGGTTGTTCTTGGGCTGTTGCTCGTAAGTTTGACGAAAATTCCACGTGGCGTCGTATATCCATTATTTTGGTTTGTGTCACTTGGTATGGACATTCGCATTCTGGAAACAGATGTGGAGCGCCGCCAAGTCAAGGGTTTGATCATGGCGTCAATGGAGAATTTGACCTGTATGACGAAGCTGGCATAGTGGCAGCAGTTTTCCTGCTGCCCTTGTGGCTTGTGTTTTTTTTGTGGTTTTGTGTTTGTGACCTTGTGGTTCAGCAGGTGCTGTGAAAAAGAGCTGCTGTTGCCTCCCGCGCTGTCTCAGCAGCTGCTCATGCTCGTGCAGCTATTGTAGCTGAAGCCATTGCTGTAGGGTTTCTACCGCCCCATCGGTGGGAGTGGAATCGATGCCCCTACAGTGCGATCCTCGCTGGTCCCCTGACCTTGCCGGTAAGGAAGAATTGGAAAAATACGCCAGTTTGTATTTGTTGCAAATTGACGCATTTGCAGCGCTTCTTAGCTCTGTGCATGTGGCTGATTGCAGACTGATTATTGCTGAGTCCTAGGCCTTGCGAGTTCCCAGAAGAAACCTATGAATTAGCCTCTGGGATGTAGCTGATGCTATTACCGCTCTTTAGAGATCGGATAGCTCTAGTCTAGTGCCCTTTTTTCTGTGGGTTCTCAGTCTGTGGGAGTACTTTCTCTGAGAGTTGTCATTATTAACAAAAGAAGGGGGGTCGTTTGCATCTGCTTCTGGAGATTTTCCCGGGAAGTGGAACCCTGGGGTTGAAGTCAGTATCTGCAAAACTTAGACTACTACAGAAAACAATAGCCTGATCTATGTGTTCTGTCTTCTTTGAACATGCGAGTGAGTGTGCGGACATGTTGGTGCCTGGAGCGGTGAATGGATGTCCAGTGGACGCTGTGATTGATACAAGATCCGCCGCTACATTGTTGTCAGAGGATTTTGCCGACCGCCTACCTAAGGAGCTGGAAAAGGAAACCTCTGACCAAGGCCCGAAGTTAATTGGCGCCAACGGGCAACCACTAGAAGCTGTGGCGTCAGCATTTGTTCAGTTGGAACTCGGAGATGCAACCTGTTGGCACCGGGTAAGAATTGTTAAGGGGTTGCCGCGTGATTGTATTGTTGGCCGGGACGTATTATCCCACATTCCTTGCACAATTTCTTCGGGACAAGGGCGAATGTTCTTCTCTACCTCCCCCGCCTCAATCAGTACTGTGGGTTCGGATTATGGAGTGTTGCAACTGAAATCTAAAGTGACATAGTTGGTCTTTGATCGCCTCTTGAAGGCAGATTTACGGTTGAAGCCCAGTAAGTGTTTCTTGTTCCGCACCAGTGTTGAGTTCCTGGGCCACATTGTTACCCGGGAGGGGGTTAGGACCGATCCAGGTAAGATCGAGAAAGTCAGAAACTGGCCTACCCCTGAAGCAGTTGGTGAAGTGCGTGGTTTCTTGGGATTCTGTGGGTATTATAGGCGGTTTGCCCAGGATTTTGCCACCATTGCCCGCCCCTTGTACAGCCTGACGAAAACTGGCCAAGTGTTTTTGTGGACTGTGAAACCGCTTTCCTGAATCTGAAGACAGTGTTGACGACCGCCCCAGTACTAGCCTACCCCAGGTTTGGTCAAGATGCATCACCATTTCTGGTAGACGTAGATGCTAGTAGACTAGGGTTAGGAGCAGTGCTGTCTCAGGTTCAGGAAGGTCTGGAACGGCCGATAGCGTATGCTAGTCGACTTCTGGCCGATACAGAAACACGGTACGCATCCACGAAAAAGGAATTGTTGGGTTTGGTATGGGCTGTGCGACATTTTCGTTGCTACCTGCTTGGTAAACAATTTGTGATTCGTACTGATCATCGTTCTCTAGAACACTTGGCTAATTTCAAAAATCCACCGGCGATTGTGGCTCGCTGGCTGGAATTTTTGTCTGAATTTGAGTTCACCATATCGTACAGGGCAGGTCGATCGCACGCTAACGCTGATGCATTGTCACGCCGCCCTGACGCTTCGGCGACGCTGTTCGTAGGGGCCGTGAACAACGACGTTGGCAACATCCCCACACCCCTCATCCGCCGTTTCAACTGGCCGTGGTCAAGATGGGAAACGGAACAGGAGAAGGACCGAGATCTCGCCCAAGTAGTGTCCTGGCTAGGTATGGACTCTCCGCCTTGCCCACAGGACATGATGGGTAGCAGTCCTGAGGTACGTATTTTGTGGAAAAATCATGAAATGCTGGTTCATCATGAGGGGGTGTTGTGCCGTCGTTGGGAGGACCCTTGCCCCGGTAAGCCGTCTATCTTGCAAGTTGTTGTTCCCCGGCATTTACGTTCATTGGTTTTGCAAGAGTATCATGACCAGGGGGGACATACGGGTTCTACACGCCTGCAGAAGAAACTGATGCAACAATTTCACTGGGTAGGCATGAAGAAAGGTGTCTTGGATTGGGTTGCAAGTTGTTCTTCCTGTAGCCAGTTGAAGCGTTCCGTTGGCAGAGGGTCTGGCGCTCCAATGCAGTCTTCCTGGACGGGGTATCCTTTTGAGCGAGTAGCTATGGATTTGATCCCCAATTTGCCGGAGACAGCGGAAGGGAACCGCCATATTTTGGTTGTAGTTGACTATTTCACTAAATGGGTGGAAGCTTTTCCGCTTTCGAGAATGGATGCTTCCACTATTGCTTTGGTGTTTGTTAATGAGTTTGTGTCACGTTTTGGTGCTCCTGATCGGTTGCATACCGATCAGGGCAAAAACTTTGATGGCTCTCTGTTTCGCAGTGTTTGCTTTCTGCTTGGCATAGATAAGACCAGGACAACTGCGTACCATCCACAGAGTGACGGTCTGGTTGAGAGATTCAACCAGACGCTTGAGCGTGGCCTGGCGCACTATGTCTGCCGGAATCATCGAGATTGGGACATCAAGTTGCCAGCCTTCTTGATGGGATACCGCTCGACGCCGCAGACTAGTACCGGCTACAGTCCAAGCTATCTGCTCTTTGGTCGGGAGCTATGCCTACCTCAAGACTTGGCATTTGGATTACCGCCAGGAGCAGCATCCGCAGTAGCGTCCCAGCCGGAATTCGTGAGTGCTCTCCGCCTGACGCCTGGAGGACGCTCATGCGCAGGTTCGGGAGCACTTGGGCAACGTGCACCGCTATCAAGCGCATATCCGTGATCGTAACGCTAAGGCCGTGACGTTTGCAGCTGGTGATGCAGTGTGGCTTCTGGTGCCGGCCATTCCGACGGGTACAACCGCCAAGTTTTCTAGACTGTGGCACGGACCATACCTAGTCGAGGAGAAGCTCTCCGCCGTCACCTACCGCATCAAGCTGTCCGAGCCCACGGCACGTCGGCTGATAGTGCACGTCAACCGGCTGAAAGGTTGTCATCATCGACCGAGTCGGCTGCAGGAGGTTCACGAACAAGATGAGTCGGACCCACCGCAGCCCATGGCATCCACCCTGACTCCGTCCTACCAGCCTGATGCCACTGATGCCGCCGCCCGAGACGAGGAGGACACCGCTCGGGTATTCGACAGTGCTCCGCCAGTTGGCGTGATGGAAAGGCGAACCCCGCGTTCCCGCCATCCACCTCAGCTGTTTGGGAGTCCCGTCTGGCACGAGTAAGGATTTCAGTGGTATTGACTGGATTGGTTGTGGCCAATATTACAGCTAGTCTTTGAACAGTTTTTTTGATCGGAACTCCAATTTTGACCTGCACTCGTTTAGTTAAATTGTTAGCCATAATCTTAGTCTAATTTATTACGTTACTTATAACACGAGGACGTGTTCTTTTCCGTGTAAGCGGGGGGATATGTCGTATCCATACGATTGGCACGTGCCTTTTAGGCCTCTACGGGACAAGTATGCCTTATTTAGTTGTTTTATTATTTATCTATCTCCCGTAAACGGGTTCATAATCGTCTATATTTTATATTTCCCCACATGGCTCCCGCTCTTTATGCGACAGTTCGTACGCATATTTATTACGGTGATACGCTATTGCATGCGGGACCAGCAATCTCGTGGCCATGGATTTCCATGGCCGCAACTAGATCATATTGCCATCTCCTTGCTTTTCTCTCTCTCTCTTGCCTTCCGCCTTCAGGCGGAAGCTTCGGCTTTCGTCTGTCTTGCCTTGTGCTCTCATATCGTCTCTTGAACCAAGTTAGCTCCTTTTGAAGATGTGAGTCAACCTGAACGCTGGTGTGAGTGTACGTGTCTGTATATGCCTGAGTGTGTGTGTGAGAGTATGTCTAGGTATATGTGCGTGCGTGCGTAAGAGTAATTCTGTTGGTGGACTCTCTCCAAGTGGCCACCACTGTACGGCCTTGTAATGTGAAGGTTTATTAGTAAGTTAGTTCATGTCGACGACCGCAGCCTTGGGGTCAAACCCCGGGCCGTCCGGATACGACACTAGCATGACAGACATGAATGAAACCGCAACCAAGTGAGCGTGACACAGATTACGAAGGTAATGAAAAGAACCAGACTGTCATCGCACAACCGCCTATTGTCGGCTCACACACAGAAACCAGATAATCTAGCAATATATGAAATGCGACGGAACATAATCCCCCTCTCAAACGAAGGGTATAAGACTGAGTGTGATACCAAACAGTAACGATAGAACATGAAAAGACAAAGAACTAAAAGGAAATATGCAGGTCCATTCTATGCTGCTACTGTCACTACGGTGGGCTAAGGCACTGAATTCCTCAGCCACTATCTGCACACAATGGAACAAGCTGGTGAACACTCCGGCGCTTGATCTTGTCGGCGATCTTCACGTCCACTACCCTTACATGACCATCGGCTCCTGGATGGGTTCCTACGACTCTGCCTAGTGGCCACTGGCCACGTGTCACATCCGGACTTGGGCACAGCACCAAGTCGCCTTTCTGCAGCTCTCTTCTCTCTGCTCTCCATTTCTTCCTGAGGTTCAATAGCGGAACCAGTTCCTTCATCCAGCGGGTCCATACATGACACACATGCTGCTGTACTACTTGCCAACGCTTCCGCGGGTGGACGCCGTCAGAGGCATTCACTTCCATCTCCAAATCAAGTGGTTGCACTATGCGGCCAACGAGGAAATGATTCGGGGTCAGCACATCGGCATCCTGCGGGTCAGTGCTGAGCTGTGTGAGAGGACGGGAATTCAGGATATTCTCAACCTCGGTGAAGGCAGTGACGAGCTCCTCATCAGTCAAGCTGGCCTTGCCCAGCACATGAGTGAGTGCACGCTTTGCTGCTTTCACTACTGCTTCGAAGATACCGCCAAAGTGGGGAGAACGTGGTGGATTGAAACGCCATTTGATACCATCATCGGCGGACCGACGTTCTACCTTCTGCCTATCAATCTGCTCGGCAGCTTCACGAAGCTCTCTCTCAGCGGCAACGAAATTGGTGCCGTTGTCGGATATCATGACGGATGGATTTCCCCGACGCTTTACGAATCTAGAGAACGCCATCAAGAAGCTGTCTGCGTTCAACGATGTCGCCATCTCTAGGTGACAGGCCCGGGTCTCCACACAAGTGAAGACGCACAGATAGCGTTTCTGCTGTGCCCGACTGCGGCCTTGTTTCGTGAGAAATGGGCCCGCGAAGTCGACTCCACAATTGCTGAAGGGTTTGAACGACTGAGTTGTTCGTACACTGGGCACAGGTCCCATCAGCTGTTCTGCTGGATTAGCATTCATCCGCTGGCACCTCACACAGCTTCGGCGTGCGCGTTTTACAGCTGCAAGGCCGTTCACGATCCAGAACCTCTGCCTGAGATTCGCCAGTAGGTGTTGGGACCCTGCAGAATGGTGGCATTGTTGATCCTCTTGCATGATCAACAGCTGTGTCACCCGATAGTTTGGTGGCAGCAACATGGGCTGCTGTAGACCACGGCAGAGATGTGCCGATTCCTTTAGTCGTCCACTCAGTGTCAGTATAGGAACACCTTCAATTGTGAGCAACACCGGATTCAGCCGTTGTAGCGGGTCGGATGCCGGCAGAGTCTTTCCAAGTGCAATTCGCTGGATTGTGCCTCCATAGGTGTCGACTTGAGCCGCTCTAACCCAGTGTAGTTCCGCATTCTGCAGTTCTTGCGGCGACAACTCCTCCGTAGCGTGTTGTTCTGTGGAGTTGCTGGCTGCACTCTTTGCAGACGTCCCGTCAGTCTGTTGCAATGGTACCACTACCGCGCTGGTGGGAACCGCTCGCTCCCTCGTGATCCTTGCTCTCAGGTTGCCTAGGAATCGCAAGCACCATGCCGTGATGCGTACTAGCCGCGACCAGGACGAGTACGTAGATGGGCTTAGCCTGATCTGTTCATGTTCGACGGCGAACGTGATGGCTGGCTTCTTCTTCAGTTGTCCGGGGAGCTGAGCTGGCACAGTGAGGTTGGTTTTCGGCCATTCTGCCGGTGCCGACTGCAGAAACTGGGGTCCTCTCCACCAGGTATCGTTCCGTATGAAGTCGGCTGCGCGCTCGCCACGGGTGCCGAGGTCGGCTGGATTGACTTTGCCTGGCACATGGCGCCATTGATCGGCTGTAGTACTCTTCTGGATCTCAACAATACGAGTGGCAATGTCGCTCCGGAAGTTCTTGGCGTTGCTGCGCAGCCAGTACAGAACGTTGGTTGAGTCAGTCCAGTATACATGCTTCTCTACTGGTATGTCTAGCGCTCGAGCTACGACTTGACTCGCACGTACTCCCAGGGCTGCGCCACGAAGTTCGAGCTTCGGGATGGTGGTTGGCTTGATTGGCGCGGTCTTGGCTTTGGCGAATGCGAGCGTGACTTTCACGAAGCCATCAGGGTACTCGCAGCGCACGTATACTGCTGTAGCGACTGCATGCGATGACGCATCGGTGAAGACGTGCACTGAGAGTGCCGCGGACTCTGGAGGACGATGTGCATCCTTGAAACATCGATCTGCCTTGATCTCTGCCAGCAATGGTAATTCCGCAAACCACCGCTGCCACTTAGAGCTCTGTTCATCAGACAGTGCGGCGTCCCAATCCTTCTGCTGCGTACATAGCTCTTGGAACATCAGCCGTGCACGGATAGTGAAGGGTGACAGCTGACCTCGTGGATCATAGATGGTAGCCATCTTGGACAACAGTGATCGTTTCGTGAGTTGCTGCGGTGATGTTGCTTTGTAAACGAAGGTGAACACATCATCTCTCGCATTCCAAGCTACGCCGAGTGTCTTGACTGGATTGGAGATGGTCGGGTTGTCGTTGCTACTGAGATGCAGTAGCGAATCTGTAGCACGGTCAGCCTTGGGTATAGCCTCCAGCACTTGGCGGTCGTTGCTCCGCCATTGGCGCAGGTGGAATGAACCATGTTGCAGGAGGGACTGGACTTCCCGCTGAGTGGTGATAGCGCTATCAGTTGTAGGACAGGACTTGAGCAGGTCGTCCACGTACAGAGACCGGTCGATAGCACTACGAGCCATGTCATTGTAGTTAGAGCCAAATCTGCTTCCAACCTCCTTGACGGCACGGCAGGCTAGATATGGCGACGCCTTGAGGCCAAATACCAATCGGTTGAATTCAAACGCTTCCATGGTAGATTGTGGGGACTCTCGCCACAAGAATCTCACATACCGCCTATCTGCGGGTTTGAGGCCGACTTGCAGGAACATCTCAGCGATGTCGCCGACGAGTGCAACAGGTTCCTGACAGAATCCTAGCAGGACCTCCACCAGGTCTTGCTGTAGTTTCGGCCCAGCATACATATGGTCATTCAGTGACTGGCCGTCGTGGGTGGCTGCAGCGTCAAAGACCATACGCACTTTCGTTGTCTCCTTGTCCTGCCGCACTATTGGAAAATGGGGCAGGAACCACTGGTCTGGCTCGGTGAGAACGTCGGCATCGCACCTCGTGATGTAACCCTTCTCTAGATGTTGAGCTACAAGCTGACGGTACTGGTCGTATACTGGTGGGCGCCGAGCTAGCGAGCGCTCCAGGTTGAATAAGCGGCTCTTGGCTGTCGCGATGTTGCTTGTCAGTTGCGGCCGACCACCGTCACTCGTCCATGGGATGCCAGTGACGATCCGAGTACCATCGTGAGTAGTCATCTCACGTACCAGACGGTCGGCTTCGATTTCTGCCTGGGTGAGGGTAGACTGTGTCACAGTCCCAACATCGTCCCACAACCAGAACTTCTCCACAATAGCGTCCAATCGCTGCTGTGGTGTCATGTCATCTGCTGGCGTGACGGCTGTGGTCATCGAGCACTGTGAGGGCGTCACTACTGGTCCAAAGCACACCCAGCCCAATGGTAGGCGACGAGCGATTGGGTCACCATCATTGCCAACGACTTCTTCCAGTGTAGTATGTGCTCCCGGCACATTCAGGCCTACTAGTAGCTCCGGAGTGCGGGTGTTGGTTGGTGGTAATGGAATATCTCTCAGGTGCTCATAACAGCATTTGATCTTGTCCCAGTTGACCGGTGCTGTGTGGGTGGTAATCTGTGGCTGGGTCCACACCTCGAGGTCCGCACTGTAGTTGCCATCCACACTTCTCATAGTGACCTCAACACACTGGTGTTGTCCTGTCACTGTCTTACCGCCCAGAACAGTTGTCTGGAGCGACTGGGGCTTGCCGACTATGCCAAGCTTACTCGCAGCGTCATCCGTCAGAAAGCTGGTAGTAGAGGCTGGGTCCAGCAATGCGGTGACGCGCTGTTGGCGACCCTCATACTCCAGCACTACTGGCACAGTCATGAAGGCAATCTGATCTCCCATCGATGCACTGGTTTGATGGTTGGTCGCTGCCTGGGGCTGTGTTCCGTCAGTGTTCGAGCTCTCTCGTGCTCCACTCGTTCCGTCAGTCGTCGAGCCCCCTCGTGCTCCACTAGTCCGCTGGGTACGCTCTTGGTGGAGCAGAGTGTGGTGCCTGGCTGGACAACGTTCGCATCCTCCCGACTGACACGCTGCCCTCCAGTGCCCGGACCTCAGGCAGCAGGTGCATAGCTTCCATTCGTATACTAATTCCCGGTGCTGTTTCACTGGCAGTGCCTTGAAGCTTCGGCACCAGGTGATGCAGTGGCTGCCGTTGCAATTCCGGCAGGACCGAACTGGTTTGTCTCGCCTGGCCTCGTTTGCAGATGAGCTGGCTGCGTGCAGTGCTGTCTGCCCGCGAGGCTTGTACGTTGTCGCTGGTTGTGCAAGGCTCTTGGCTGGCGCCACCAGCGCTGCAGCCTCAGCTCGCTCTCCCAGCCAGGACGAGAACGTGTCGAGTCCGAGCTGATCGGTCGTCAACCCTTGCGTCTTTAGATACTCTCCCCATTGCATCCGTTGAGCTGGTGGTAACTTCGTGACCAACTCGTTGTGCAATGCAGGGTTGGTCAGGTGGCCCTGGCTGTTGAGCAGCTTCATTGTCAGCACGATGTTGTTGATGGCCGTTGCCAGTCCGATCAAGCTGTCGGGGTCGTCTGCCCTCACGGGTTTGAGTGATTTGGCTTGCTCGATCAGCTCAGTGACGACGAGCTCCGGTCTGCCAAACCGTTGCTCGAGCGTCTGCACGGCCTGCTCCACATTGTCGGGCACGGAGAGCATCAGCTGTACCGCATCCCGTGCTTTGCCCTTCAGGCACGCTTGCAGGCGTTGAACGTTCTCGGCATTGCTGAATCCGCACTGCTTGGTGCTGCTCCTGTATGTGCTGATGAACGTTGGCCATTCCTCAGGTCTCCCAGAGAACGTGGGCAGCTTGGTGTTGATGGAGCTGTGTCGGGATGCTAGCTGGTGTAGGCCAGTGTCAGAGTCAGGAGTAGTACTGTGGCTGGTGGTGGTGTTGTTGCCACTACTCCGTAGTGCTGCTGTCAAAGCACCCATAAACTCCTGTGCCATGTTGGCGATGCCTATGGTGCCCTGGCCAGTACACTGGTCTGAGTCAGCATTGCCAGCTGTACTGCTACAATCATTACTAGAGTCACTGCTGGCTGGCACGGGCACTTGACTGCTGGCCTCATCTCTGACCACTCGACTGTGACTGCCACTCATCTGACAGGCAGACAGCCCGTGCGTTACACACTTGGCACCATCACGACTGTCTGTACTATTCACGGATTGAGGAGAATTCACACGTGATGCAACTACAGCTGTGGACTCGTCACATACCTTGCTGTGTGCATGCTGCACGCGCCGCTCCATCTCCGCGAGTTCGTGCCGCGCTTGCTCCAGCTCCGCGAGTTCGTGCCGCGCTTGCTCCAGCTCACTGTACATGCTCTTCTCCTTTTCGTAGCTGGTTTGCAACAGGTCTCGATTCTCCCGCTGTGCGACCCTAAGCTTGCTTTCGGCGACCTCCAGCTTGCTTTCGGCGACCTCCAGCTTCTGGACGATCGATTGAGCACGGTCTTTCACCCTTCTCGACTCCTTTCGGCACTCGTTCAACTGCTCGCCGAGGTAGCCGATTTCCTGCTGGTACCTGAGTTCCTTCAGCTGGAACTCGCGTCGGAGGTGACTTTCGGCGTCCGACTCTATCTCCTGGACGTGTCCTGCTACGTCCCCGACATCTCCTGCAACCAGTCCGACGACTACTGCGTCCGGTTGAGAGTTGTGTGGCTCTCCTTGTGGTGCCTCGTCGCCTGCATCAAGCACTTCTGCGGCCTCCGCAAACACTTGTTGTTGCATCCCGAGAGACGGGGACCTCCCAGTCCCGGAGCCTGGCGAACGAACACTACTTGTCCTTACAAGAGTTTCCGCTGCCAATTCAGATTCTCGCAGTTCCAACTGCGCCTTTGCGACTCGAATCTCAGCTTCCAACACTGCTCGTCGCGAGCTACCACTGTGCTGGGCTGATGATGTCCGCGATCGAGCACTCACAGCTCGACTTCCATTGCCGGACGTCGGTACTGCTCCTTGCTGGTCACGATTACCTTCGACAGCTTCGGTCTCGAAACCCCATCGCTGAGGAGGTACACCTATCGTGGAACGGCTGCTCCTACGCATACCAGGATCCGACTCCATGCCACGATCCGGCTCGAAGGACCAGATATGTTCGTATTTTCTACTCACACGCACACGAACCCTTCGAAGACTGTATATTCATGCACTCGAGTACTCATACACTCGAATCATCACACAAACTGTGGGGCTTGATCTGTCTTACAACGTTCTTGCAAGACGATACAACAACAGCTCCTGTTCTCTACAAATCCTTACACACACACTAAAGCACTATCAACTAAAACCAGCTAATTTATGCACAGAACATATCCTGAAAAGCAGCGAAACAAAGGAAGCCAAAGCAGCAGGCATGGAAAGATCCCGTACGCACTATGAACTCTTGCACTCTAGATATGTGCAGCGTACGATACTAGTTCAGCGGCTACTAACACTAGCATGACAGACATGAATGAAACCGCAACCAAGTGAGCGTGACACAGATTACGAAGGTAATGAAAAGAACCAGACTGTCATCGCACAACCGCCTATTGTCGGCTCACACACAGAAACCAGATAGTTTAGCAATATATGAAATGCGACGGAACACTGAATAAAAATCATGGTCAAGCTACAGTCGTCGCCAAAAAAATCCGGCCAGTGCTATGCTGGCTGTAGATGGTGACTTGCTAGAGCTCGCGTCGCTATAAATTTCTATCCGTATTGTGTGTGGATCATTCTTGTCTGATCCTGCTCCGGCAGTTGGCAAGTCTCAGACTCTTTTGGCTCTGCCAAGATCCTGCTCCGGCAGTTGACACGTCTCTGGTAGATTCTGCTCCGGCAGTGTCTATGCACGTGTGTGTGTGTGTGTGTGTGTGTGTGTGTGTGTGTGTGTGTGTGTGTGAACGACACAAATGTTCTGCTGATCGCCAGCTGCCTGTAGCGGAACAGCCGAACGCACGTCAATGCCATGCCTGCCTTCGGTGGTTCCGAAGTGCCTGTGGACTTGCTGTGCACAAGTGCACGACAACCGCCACGGCATCACCGCCCACACCCCAGCGCATACCAATCACCAGTCATCCGTGGTGCAACCAGCACTGCGCTACCTGTGATCGTTGTTTTAAATCGTGCCCACGTGTCACTTCCAACGTACCTCTCTATAACATGACCCAGCTGTGATGTGAGTGGTCGCATTGATTCGATTTTTGGTTTGCTTGTAGGCCGCTGGCACCCGCATTCATTGACACCTAAAATTTGGCACTGCTGTGAATAGTTTAGTCGCAAAGTGAAGAATCACGAGCAAAAAAGCCCAAACCTTCGAGATAGGTTGATTTCAGCTTTGAGCATCCCTGGGCGAAGTGTTTATTGAAATGTGGAAATTTTTCTTGGTGCACTTCCCTATGTCCAGCTATGCAACAAGATCAGTGTGGCGATGGTCAGTTCTTGAGCTTCGAACGGGCAGAAAGGTGAGATATTGTCGCTTTTTGACCATTTGTGCCCACGTGTCACTTTCAACGTACCTCTGTATAACACGACCCAGCTGTAATTTCAGTGGTCGCATCGATTTGATTTTTGGTTTGCTAATAGGCCGCTGGCACCCGCATTCATGGACGTCGGAAATTTGGCACTGCTGTGAATAGTTACGTCACAAAATGAAGAATCACGGGCTAAAGGGCCCATAACTTTGAAATAGTATATTTTCAGCATTCAGCAGCCCTGAGCGAGTTTTTTTTATTGAAATGTGGAATTTTTTCTTGGTGCACTTCCCTATGTCCAGCTATACAACAAGATCAGGGTGGCGATAGTCAGTTCTTGAGCTTCGAACGGGCAGAAAGGTGAGAAATTGTCGCCTTTTGACCATTTGCGCCCACGTGTCACTTTCAACGTACCTCTCTATAACATGACCCAGCTGTAATATGAGTGGTCGCATTGATTTGATTTTTGGTTTGCTGGTGGGCCGCTGGCACCCGCATTCAGTGACGCCGAAAATGTGGCACTGCTGTGAATAATTTAGTCGCAAAGTGAAGAATCACTGGCAAAAAGGCCCAAAACTGGGACATAGGTTATTTGCAACATTCAGCAGCCCTGGCCGAGTTGTTTATTGAAATGTAGTATTTTTTCTTGGTGCACTTCCCTATGTCCAGCTATACGACAAGATCAGGGTGGTGATGGTCAGTTCTTGAGTTTCGAACGGGCAGAAAGGTGAGAAATTGTCACTTTTTGACCATTTGTGCCCACGTGTCACTTTCAATGTAGTATGTAGCTCTCTATAACATGACCCAGCTGTAATTTTTTTCCCCATCGCATTGATTTGATTTTTGGTTTGCTTGTAGGGCGCCATCACCCACATTCAGGTTAATTTTCCGCTTTCAGCAGCCCTGGGCGAGTTCTTTAGAGAAATGTGGCTCTTTTTCTTTGTGCACTTGTCTATCTCCAGCTATACAACGGGGTGAGGATAGTCCTTGTCAGTTTCTGAGCTGCGACCCGGCAGAAAGGTGAGAAAGTGTCAGATTTTGACCATTTGTGCTCACCTTTCAATTTCAATTTCAACGTACCTCTCTATAACATGACCCAGCTGTAATGTCAGTGGTCGTATTGATTTGATTTTTGGTTTGCTTGTAGGGCGCTGGCACTCACATTCAGTGACCTAGAAAATTTGGCACTGCTGTGAATAGTTTAGTCGCAAAGTGAAGATTCATGTTTTTCAGCTTTCAGCAGCCCTGGGCGAGTGCTTTAGAGAAATGCGGCTCTTTTTCCTGGTGCGCTTGCCTATGTCCAGCTATACAACGAGATGAGGCGGGTCATTGTCTGTTTCTGAGCTGCATACCATTACACTCAAGTGAGAAGATATATGAAGATATGCAAATGATATACATGTACTGCTAGTAGTCATGACCTTGCCACTCTCCGTGACATCACAAGATATCCCGGGAAGTGATAGTGATGTCATGGATGTGTGTATAGTATTGTATACAACACAATCCCATATCATGGTGAGTGATCTCAGTGTGTGTGGTATCCGCACATGCTGGTCAGGAACTGAGAATATAGTATGTCAGTATTGATTCAATGCAATTGGAACTTGACTTGATATTGCATGCGAGTTATCTTCAATTCTGCTCTTGATTTCCAGCACAGTGTTAAGAAAAATGAACGTGTTTGTCCCATGCAGGGAGTGACACAAACGTTCACTAATTTCTGTCTTGATAACAATTAAAATATTCATCATTCTTAGATTCAAGCCTGGCTATTTGTGAGAACACAGTTTGTCCCGACTGAGTACATGTATCATATCCGTGCTATTTTTTTCACCTTCTCCTTTTCATTCCCTTCATTAAATACGTGTAGGTCGATTTTAGATGAGGTATTCAGCATGCTGCCAGTTTGGAGAGAAATTCAGTACTACATTAATCTAACTAAGTCTTAATATCTCACACACTCACATTTTGGCATTGGCTTAGACTTCCGTACACTGTTCATTCGTATTATCATTA